AACAAACACACCCTTAGGATAATACTTCATCAAGTTAAGTTTTTAATTACTATATATGGAGCTATGCTAATAAAGTTTGAGCTTATTCATAAGATGATAACGACCTATATTTTGTGTTTAATTATGTCTGCCTCATTTGGCTTAGTAAACAATATTTTAATGAGTTTAAATAATTATCAGTTCGGGAGCAACTCATTTATTTAATAGCTTAACCATAACCCTCTTCAAATTGTCTTATGTTCACTATTTATTTATTTTTTTATTTATTTATTTTTTTTGTTTTCTTCAATCAAAATTTAATTAATAGTATACATTCTTGAATTATCCATATAGTTGACTTATGCAAAGCTCGTATATATTATATGGGGATTTTAGCGAAGAGCACACTGAACAATGGTTCAGACCTCTAATTTAAGAGGGTTTATATTTTAAAATTTTAATTTACTATTATGAGATATATTAAATTTTAATTTTTTTTATCTATTTTTTTTTATAATTATTTAATTTAATTTTAATTTTAAAAATAAATTTTAAATCAGATATATATTTTTTTTTCTAACAACGCCTATCCATCTTCTCAAATCGCAAATTAAATCGTCGTCCTCTTTTGTTTTTTTTTTTTTTGTCCTCCCCCTATTCTTTCGGTTTTCGAACCTCCAGTCACCACCGTGAAGTATATTGATTTCCACATTCCATCTTCTTCTCCTGAGTCGATACCGTCGGACCGCTGCTTTCAACTTTTTGTCTAGTCGATGGCGGTGTCCGCCCACCATCTCGGTGATATTATTTTAAAAATATATTTATCGTATATTTATATGGTCCATAATTGAGTTTTTGCTCGGAACGTTGAAAAGTTCGAGACAATCCTAATTATATTTTGAGATTAGGGCACTAATTAGTACTAATTAGCACTCACTGACGTATAATTTCAAATAATACAATATATTTTTCATTAATTACAATCATATACCGACCATTCATATTTTATGAGTGTGTATATGAACATATTCGCTTATATTGAAATTAATACTCATTCCTTCTCATTTGAAGGATTTCATTCAAAAGAGACTTTTGGCATTTTATAGTAAATTAATAAATAATAATATTTTATCAGATAGTGAAAGTGTGTAAGAAATTTTAACATTTTTGTTTATTGACTTTATGTATAAAGTAATTGTACGTGTAATAGCATGTTTGTAATACGCGATATTATTAGAGAGTTTTTAAATTTTGTAGGTTAAAATTTGTAAGTGCTTATTAGAGATTTTTTTTAATATTTTAAATTTTTATAGGTTAAATACTATATTATCTTAATAAAAATAAGTTTGATATGTATTATGTAATTTTGCTAAAAATATATTAATGGAATATGTCAATATTAAATTAAATAAATAAAATATATAATATTTTAAACTTAATGTTGAAATATTAAATAAAAAAAATCATGTAAAAGTGTGTTTTGTTATTATTTCATGGGATATATAATTTAATAAAAATATATTATTTTTTTGATAAAATATTATATCAAAATCCTATTTAAATAAAAATTTAAATTTAACATCTCATTTCCAATCAATCTAAGCCTCAACCAAACAACATTTTTACAAAATTCATTATGTTAACTATTTTACAAAATTCATAACAATTATTTATTTATACAGTTTTATTGGCTAATTATATATAAATAATATTTTTATATAATATTATATTTTAATTTCAATATATTGATTTATATAAATTATGATGAGATTATATAATTCTTTTATTATTTTAAAATATTAAAATTATTTGGAAACCTAATAAAATTAGCGACATTTAAAAATTTAAATGATTAAAATAAATTTGAATTGATGCATAGTTGAAAAGAATTTTTATGTTTCTAAGAGTTTGATTAAAAAGTTAATTGAAAAGATTATGATTTTACTTATTGTTAAAATTGAACATGAAAATTTAGAGAAATTTATTTATTGAAATTAAATAAATATAATAGAACATTCATATAGATAAATCATTAATAAATTTTAAATAATAATTAATTAATTAACTAATTATTATTATTATTAGGTGAGGCCATTAGTTTTTAGAAAATGAAATATTATGTGATAATTGTATTTCTTAATATAAGTAATAACTCTTATTATAATAAAAACTTAAAAAATAATTATTAAGATAATATGAAAGGTAATGGTAATATTTCCTCATATTAATAAAAATTCAATAATGTTGTACTCCTCTGTCTCCTTTACCGGTTTATTTTTGATTTGTCTCACTTATTTTATTATTTTTTTTGAAATAAATTATACTATATTTTAAACTATTTTAAAATTTTTAATTATATATTTTATTTTAATTAAATTAATTAGTTATTTTAATTTTAATTTATAATTATTTTTATTATATAATAATTATTTTCACTAATATTTTTAATTATTTACTAATTATATGAATTCTAAATTCACGTATCTATAATAAAATACACAAGGTAGATTGGACAAAGTGAGTATTACATTTTTACATATATCCATATAGGGATGGATAAATTTACCGAACATACCGAAATACCAACTTATCGTACTGTATCGTGTCGAAAATACCGAAAATTTCGGTATATCAAAAATTTCAGTACGGTATGGATAGCATACCGAAGTTTTTCGGTACTGTATCGGTATAAATTTTCAGAAAGTTCGGTATCTCGGTATGATACCGTACCAATATTATTTTTATTAAATAATTTAATTATTAATATAAATAATAATTATTAATATTTTTTAAAATTATAACAAAAAAAATATGTAAACAATTGAAAATTTATTGGTTTTTTAATAATATTTTTGTGGTGAAGAATAGTGATATTTATTAATTTTTTTTAATTATTTTGAAATTTAAAATTATATTTTCGGTATAATCGGTATATACAGGTATATACAGAAATCAAAATTTTCGATATAAGCAGTATATATTGGTATCGTATCGAAATTGAAATTTTCGGTATAAACGGTATATACCGGTACCGTACCAAAAATTTCGGTATACCAAAATTCGGTATATTGAAACTTTCGGTACAATACCGATATGTATTTTAGTCATATCGAAAAATTCGATACGATATCAGTATTGACCGATATTTTCGGTACGATACGGTATGTCATCCCTATATCCTTATATTAGCAATATTGAAAAGCTGACTTCTAGTACTTTTATTTTGGATTTTGATATTTTTAAGATTAAATAATTATTAAGAAAATAATATTTTATATAAAATAACTTGACCCTATACTTTTAAAGTAAAAATAGAAAACTGGATAGTAAAGGAAAATATTAAAAAATGCTAGTATTTGTGGAGTATTTAATATATTTTATTTTTTATTGATTTTCTTCTTTCAAAAATAATTTTGCATTTTTTTTAATATTTTGTTAAAATTATTTTTAAATTTGAAATATTACATTACTTATATTAATATTGTATCAAATAAATATTTGAATTTTAAATATTTATCATTCAAAATTTAAAGCACCAAAGAAAGAGACCCTTGACCCAATGTATATAGGACAATTATTTACTTCCATTAATTTGCAAATATATATTTAGTATCATTCAGTAATGCGGATAATTAAGGTTACAAGTTTTTTAAATGCAAACTTTAATTTTTATTCAAAGCACTCGTGCAATAATATTTGCTTTACCAAATACGATTAAAGTTTAAATTCTAACATATATATACATAGTAACTAAATTAAATAAAATAGCTATGAAAATCTTGGGGTTTATTAGTTTTGTGTTTTAATTTGAAGAGTGACATTTAATAAATCTTTTAGATAGAGATTTGAAATATTATATTACCGTTAGAAAAAATACTCCCTCCGTCCCAGATACCGTGTCTGCTACATTATAGATACGGTATTTTAAGAGGGATATAATTAGTAGATAATTAAGAATGTATTAGTAAAAATAATTATCCTATAATATAAATAATTATAAATTAAGATAACTAATTATTTTAATTAAAATTTTTTTAAAAAAAAAGATAAAATTTAAAAAATTAAAATGAGATTAAAGTGTGTAATTATTTTTTAAAAAAGGAAAGTGACATATATGTGGGACGGACATAAACGGCAACGTGGAGTATCTGGGACGGAGGGAGTAATATATTTAAAAAAAATAGATAGTTAAAAAAAAAAAAAAAATTCTGTCCAGATACTGAAAAATAATACTTCATCCGTCCCAAAACAATAGTCTTATTTCCATAAATAACCGTATCACCATAAAACTACCGATACTTTTTTCATTTTTATTACACAATTGCCAACAATAGTCTTATTTCCATAAATAACCATATCACCATAAAACTACCGATACTTTTTTCATTTTTATTACACAATTGCCACTACTTAAGGGCAAAAACGTCTTTTATTATACTTTTTACCAATTTATATTCCTTAAATCCCGTGTCCAACTCAATTAAGACTATATTTATAGGACGGATAGAGTATAAACTTTTATTCTAGAGAGACAAATTAGAAAAACTTGCAATTAAATTTATAGGTATATAAAGAATATTTGAATATAATCTATTGTGCTAGAGATTTACAATGAATTATATTCAAAATTATGCTCGTACTATCATTATAGAATAATACTAATAAGCAACGTAACAGACATTTCAAATTTTTTACATAATTAATTTTATTTTATTAAAAAAAGCACATTCAACTTATTTTATAATTAAAATATTATATTGAAAATTATATTCAACTTATTTTATAATTAAAATATTATATTGAAAATCTGTAATTTTTTAAAAATATTTATAATCTGATTATTTATTAGATATTTTATTACTTTTTAAAAATATTATTAACTTCCAAATTAAATGGTGAGGTAGACTTTCTAAAATCCTCACCCGTCCGTGGAGTATATATAGATACATACATATATATATATATATATATACATACATAAAGGACCAAATTGGGAAGCACTGAAACACCAGCAGAGAAAAATGGCTGCATTTTTTGCTATGGCTACTGCTGGTTCTGTGCTGTTCTTAACCTTTCTTCTTCTCCAAATATTTCGATCCAGAAAAGCTCCTGCAGCTCTACCAAACGGAAGTCTCTGGCAAGTTCCATTGTTAGGCGAAACTCTGCAGTTTCTCAACCCACACAAATCGAATAACATAGGCGGTTTTTTACAGCGACAGTGTTCCAGGTAAGTAATTAAAAATTTCTCAATTTTTTGGGGGAATTGATGGCGACGGAAGTAGTCATTATTAGGTTTTGGACGTGCAGATACGGAAAAGTGTTCAGATCGCATCTGTTCGGATGTCCGACGATCGTTTCGTGCGATTTGGAGCTGAACACGTTCGTCCTCCAGAACGAAGAGAAATATTTCCAGAGCAGTTATCCGAAACCAATCCACGACGTCCTTGGGAAGCTGTCGATGATGCTGGTGTCAGGAAGCCTTCATAAGAAGCTTCGAAGCGTAACCGTCGGATTCATCAACGCCTCGCGGCTTGATTTCATCTCCTCCATCGATTCCTTGTCTGCTAAATTCGTCGCCTCTCTGCGGAATAAAAACCAATTGCTGTTCTTCAAGGAGGCAAAAGAGGTTCACAATTTTGTGTATATGGGTATGTGTTTAATTTGAATTTGATTGCTGATTGATTCAATTTTGGTGCAGTTGACGTTTTACTTGATGGTGAAAGTACTGTTGAGTATGGAGGCTGAGGATCCATTGCCAAAACAGTTCTTCAAAGAGTTTCAGACATTCATGAAAGGCTTCGTTTCATTGCCTATTAACATTCCTGGGAATGCTTACTCTAAGGCTGTCAAGGTAACACCAATTAAACTTCCTATTATCATATATTAATTAATGTAATTGAAAGGTGAATTATTTAAAAAATTTCTTTAACTATTCAGGCAAGAAAGAGCATTTCTTTGGCTTTGAAAGATATGATAAAAGAGAGGGAGAATTCCATTGATGTGGCGAAAGAAAAAGTCGATTTTTTAGACCAATTAATAAAGAATGCTTCCTTGAATGACGACGAAAGAGTTAGCCTTTTACTCGATCTTTTGCTAGCCGGTTATGAGACTACGTCGGGTCTCATGGCCCTTATTGTCTACTTTCTAGCCCAATCCCCGGCTTCCTACCAAAAGCTACGAGTGAGCTATTAAGCAACCTTATTATTCTTTATTTAGCAAATTTTTGTAATCTTGATTAAATTTTTATGTAGTATGGGACACCGACCAATTAATATATGATATGTTGTTTAGGAAGAACACGAGGCTATAAGGAAGCAAGGAGATCGTATGGATTGGGAAGCTTACAAGAAAATGGAATTCACTTATCATGTATGTAAGTTATAAGTAATTGTAATTTATTCCGAATTCTCAATTTATATTTATATACGGAAAAAATCTAGCATGTATATTTTATGTATAAATGAATGAATGTATTAATCGAATCAAAACACATTAATTACAGGTCATAAACGAGGGTCTGCGGTGTGGGAATTTAGTCAAATTTGTGCACCGTAAAGCTATCAAAGATGTTAAGTTCAAAGGTAAATAATCAATTAAATATTGCATTCATCTTTAGTAATTAATCTTCGTTCTCTTTTATTATCAAATTGTTACCCAAAATATTAGATTTTGAACGATAATACAAATATATATATATATATGTAGATTACATGATTCCTGAAGGATGGCAAGTGCTCCCAATAATATCAGCAACTCATTTAGACCCTTGTCTTCATAAATATCCTTTCGAATTTAATCCTTGGAGATGGGAGGTACCATATTCATATAATATTGCAGGCTTGTTCATTATGTTGTCAAATTTGTATTTTTCATATATATATATCATACATTATTGTGATATTAATTAATGGTGATAATTTAAAAATATAATTAATTGATCGGCAGGATACATCAACGGTAAAAAAGGTGAACCCATTTGGAGGAGGGCTAAGGGTCTGTCCAGGCTCTGACCTTGGCAAGCTTGAGATTGCTATTTTTCTTCACCATTTTGTCCTCAATTTTAGGTATTTTTACAAATTAATAAACTCAAATGCATGCATTGACATTAATTAATTTATTCAAACTTTGTTATATTTATATGTGTACATATAGACTTTTGTGGGGTTGATTTCATATATATATATATATTGTGCAGGTGGAAACTATTGGGAGATGATTGTCCAATGTTGTATCCATATTTGGACTTCAAGAAAGGGTTGCCGTTGCAAGTTGAACGTATAAAAGATTAATTTGAACTTCATCCATCATTCAAATTTTTGTTTATTATTGTTATTATTTTTTGGCCCAAAAAAAAAAAAAGATTGGTACCATTTATGTATTAACCTATGAAATATATTTAAGAAGGTGGATCTGGTGCTCATGGGTGCACTATCGGCACCATGCTGATAGAATATGAATCATCCATAATATTGTCTTTTTAAATCTAAAAAAAAAAAAAAAAAAAAAAAAGATTAAATGGTAGGTCTGTGTGTACGTAAATCTCTCTTTCTCTTTACTCCCTCTTTCTCTCTTTCATTTCATTTTCTCTCTCACGGGCAGCGTCTCCCTAGCAGCCGCCGCCATCTTCCTCTTCTTCTCTATATATCTCTTCCTCCCTTTTTCTTTTTCCTCCAAATAGTTTATCACTAGTTGTCCAAATTGCTCCCGAAAACTTCCGTTCTTCCACCAATCTAGGATCTGCCACGAACCACCACCAGTCACCCAATTGACCCGTCGCGAATCCAAGTTTATTTCGGCATTTTCTAATCTGGTATTTTGATACTTCTTTTCTGTTTGGATATTAGTGAAATCACTAGTGTATATAAAAATAATGTTTATAGTATTTTTTGTGGCAATAATCATAATATTTGATAGTACAATAACATACTAAACACAATACATGCAATGCTTGTTCGTATTAAATAAAATGTTGAGTATAGAATATCTAAATGTTTATTCATCTTTTTCTATTTGTATTAATAGATTTTGAAAAGTATGTTTATAATTTATTTTTGTGGCATTTTTCTAGATAAAATTTATAGTATTTGATAATAAAGTAACATGTTAATTACAATAAACAAATTTATTTTTTGTTGCATTTTCTTTTGAAGTATAGTTTATTTATTTATTTATTTTTAAATAATAGTTTTAATGTAATATTTAATGGAGGGAAAAAAAAAACATACTATTTGTTACTAAAATGGGATGATTGCATAATAAAAAAATCTAAAATAATAGTTGAAGGATTTTTTTTTTAATATGCTTTCTTATTTATAAATGGACAACTTAATCAACCAGTTTACTAAAATCTTAAAATTCATTTTATTATGCTAATTTTTTAAGTATTTATTAAAATAACTAATTATATACATAAATGCATAGTCGATGTGTATAAACTAGTTAAATAAATATTCCATTATCAATACCCTTATAGTCGATCGGTTGTTTAGACATGGAAATATAATTTTAAATTTTTTGTTACACATATTTTACTGTGTTTATTGATTGTATAGTGAGTCTATATCTAGAATTTAATATATTGTATGCATGCAATATTTTCATCAATGCCATTATTTAATTATTACTTTACATTTGAGAATCTAGAGTATACATATTCCATGGATACTACATAAAGCTTACTTTTAATTCGACATTTTTGGTAAGCACATGATGTGTGATTTGAATTAGAGTGCTTAATTAAAAACACACACATATATATATATATATATATCCAGAGACGGAACCAGACCAGTATGAAAGGGGGGCTAATTTTTAAAATTTTGAAACGATCATCATCTATTTATTATCAAATAATTTTATCAATGGAGTTATCATATTTTGAAAATCTTGCAAAATATCAATCTACATTGATAACTGCATATTACAACATGAATTTTGTATTATATGAAATTGATAAATAATAAAAACATTTATTAAAAAAATCTGTTAAATATATCATTTTCTGTGTATTTGGTTGATAAATTTTTGAAGATTTTTTTAAATTATTATTTATTACTTTTTTTTTGTTCATATCTATTTTTATATTATCAAAAAATTATTATTATGATATAATTTTTTTTATTATTCAAAATTTAAATTTTCACGTAAATATTCTATCAATTTTTTGTGATTTTTTAATTTATTTATTATTTTTTATATTATATATTATAAAATAAAAACAAAAAATTAAAAATTATAAAGGAGTGGGGTGGGAGAGGGGGGAGCCCCCTTCCCCACGTACATCCGCCCCTATATATCATCTTCACTAATAATTTGCCACATCTACATCCAAACAAAATTAATAATCCTCTTTTATTTCTTTTTAAATCTATTTGAACAACAACAATAAAATAATAATACCAACTATGCTTAGATGTGCACCCATGTATAAATACATTAGTGTATATACGTGGGACAGATAAAAGATGGGCTGAGGATCTCTTCCTGCGTTTGGTTTCTATTTTGTAATTTATAAGTTCTATTTTTGTTGTTTTAGGTAAGGTTTCTATTTTGTAATTTATAAGTTCTATTTTTGTTGTTTTAGGTAAGAGAGTGATCGAATATGTTATTTTGTACTGAAAATTTAGTATGCTTTTACTTGGTAACAGACAAAATTATATAGTGAAAAAAATGCAACTAAAACGGGCTATAAATATCTATATGCATTAATAATTTCTCAAGAATCGGTAAGAAAATAATTTTGAATTCTTCATTTCATATATGTAATAAATAAATATAAATAAACAGTGCGACGTTTTCGTTATTTTGAATTCTTCATTTCATATATGTAATGAATAAATATAATTAAACAGTGCGACGTTTTCGAATAGCGAGTACGATTCCCGCGTCATTCAAAAATAAATAAATAAACATAAATATATCATCATTGTATATATTATTGCAAATTAAATCTCTATATAAATTAAAGTTAATCCGGAGTGCATGCATATTACGCATAAGCATATATGATATATATATATATAAACGGCAATGGGTGCAATTTTGTCAAAGGCAATTAATTAATTAATTAATTGGCATTTGTGTGTGAATATATATAATATATATATCTCAATTGTTGATGATATCTACTGCCCTAATTTAAATATTGTTGTTTGGAAGCTGTCAGATTTCAGTTCCTCCCGGAGGGGTGGGATGGCGTGGGTTTGGCACAGGGATGCCAACGGTTCCGGTAGACCCGACTCCGACCTAACCTATCTATTTATTTTGGATCAGGTTCAATTATTCGGATATCGAGTTCAGATTTGGATCGGGTATTATGTACCCTTGTCGGGTCCAAGGTAAATCCTATCTGGATCTACTTCTGACCCGATTAATATATTATTTATATATATAAAAACATTAATTTTTAATAATATAAATTATATTAAAAATAAAAATAAAATTTTATTTATTTACTTTTTTATTATAATATTTTTGAATAAAATATATATATTTTAATATAAGTCGGAGCCGAGTTCGCATCCAATTTTAAGTTAAATTTTAAGAATTGTAAAAAAAATTTCAAATTTTGTCGATATTGTTCGGGTATGATCGAATCCGGGTATAATTGGATCCAACCATGTGTATTCGAGTCAAGTCTCGGATCCGGCTGGACCGGACGCATGGCATCTGCGTCTGCACACATTGTTATTAATTAGGGAAAACTATGCCTTAATAATTATTTGAAACTGGAACTGAAACCCCACAAATCCAAAGCCAAATCTCTCTCTCTCTCATATATTATTATCAATCAAATTACAATAATAATTTACTTCTGGCAGAGTTAAATATTAGCAACAGATTAACACAAAATTTCCTTTTTCACATCATATAATGTTGTAGAAACATCGATTCAATCCTTGCCATAGATAAAGACATAACTAATGTGACAAGCACAAACTACTTGTATATTGTTAAGTGATTGCAATGTCGAAAACTGAATCGAATCTCTTACAAATTTGCCCATGCTGATGATCATGAAGAACCCCCAAAGACCTGAAACCAGTAAAAGAAATTTCATTTAGCAGCAATCCAACCCAAATGATAGAAGAGACATTAAACAATAACAGGCGCGTAGGTTTTCAGAGAAAGACAGACCCCAGCCAGAATATCCCTCGACAGCTGACCCTTATCATCTCCGGCATTTTTACCCTCAACTGGTTTCTTCTGAGGATACTGCCGAATAACTTTCGGTGCCAATTCAACTTTTTGCTTCTGCATAAATAAATAAACATCACAACAATACTATTATCATTCCAAGAATATTTACTGGTCAAAGAATTGGCCAGAAAGAAGATCATCCATCAGCAAAGATCATTGTAATCAGCAAGAGTTTAACTTAGCTTAGCTTAAATCCTTTTGGGATGTAGAAGGATAACAAAATGAAGGCAGTAAATGGCGAATAAATACATCAGAGTATGAATAAAAGATTACCTTCTTTAATCGTTCTTCTATTTTACTCAAAGCTTTAGATTGATCAACTTTTGAGAGGTAGAAGTCTCGCTCTCTTTTCGCAGCAGAGAGCTCCAGGGCCAGCTTTTGTTCCCGAATGGCATTCTTGAATGCTGAAAATAGAATTTAAAAATATATCAGGTCAATTCTGCTTATGAAAGTTAGACACCACCACCAGACATATTGAATCATGTACCGGTCTCTTCAGTAAGATCATCCCATTTGAATTTGCTCAAGTATTTGATATTCCAAAGGTCGTAGTAAAATGATGATCGTTTCTTTCCACCTGAAAGACAGAGTGAAACTTGTTAAGTTACAGTACTTTCAAGAATGCGAAAGAAAGCCAAAAAAAATGAAAAAAGAAAAAAAAAAAAAAAAGCTTGAACAATTCTCCCCTACAATGAAAATTACAAAATCCTCCAGCTCTTAAGGAAAATGCAAGTCTGTGGCTAAATGACTTAACACCTAAACGTAGTATATGGAATCAATTCTAATAAAAAAAAAAAAAACCCACTAATCGTCTTCTGAATAATTAACAAAATCAATACAAACACTATATATTGGATCATATAAATTAGGGCTATCAAACATCCTAGAGTATTTTCACATTAAGTTGTTCGTCAACAACTCTGCCTACCAACAATATATCACTCACGATTTAACAAGTAAGCTTCAGCAGAGTGTATATATGCTTGTTTGAAGAAGTGAAAAAGACATGGAATAAATAAGTCAAATTTATGTAGGATTATATTGGTTTCTAGGTTCCGGTCTATTCACCATACCGATTTGTTCCCCATTTAACATCTTTGCAACTCTCTTGGCAACTTTCTTGTCTGTGAACTCAACCCACCTGCATGGAGAAAAACACAATCAAAACTCGGCAAACCAACACATCTAATAACTAATTGAATCAAATGAGAGAAACAGTTCCAGGTTCTTGAACACAAATTCTTCTAGGCAAGTTCCAACAAAGAGAAGTATTGTGATTATATATTGCTATGAGAAGGAGTTCGAGAATACAAACAAACCCAATAAGCATACCCCTCTGAGAATTCCTGTCCTCTGAATCCCCCGGCTTTCTTCCGTCGCACTTGTGCTGCAGGATCTACATTAAAGAAGAAGGCATAGCCAAAAGGTCAAACAAACCAAACCAACCTACTAAGGGTTTGTTTAATTGTTTTTGTTTCGTATACACAGTTTCGCAAATTTATAGTGTAATATCCAAAACCATAATATCCAGAGCTTATTTTCATGGAAACCATCAAACTATACACTATTCTATATACAAAACCAAATTCACATCCAAAATAATCCAAAGCACAAATAAATACACGCCATTAATAACATACTTTCAATAGGGAATAAGCTTATGTAAGAGCGCAGGATTCTATCAAACAATCAAGTAGATACAACACACAATGCTAAAATCATAAGCAGGAAACTATAACTACAAGAATCCACCACCTTCGGGAGTGAGATAGATCCTTTGAATTTCTCCATACTGGGATAGAAGCTGTCGAAGCTTCAAGGGATTCATGTGCGGAGGGACACGACTTAAATAGCAAACACCTCGCTTGTCCGCTTTTTCAGCCTCTTTCTGTAGCCGCCTCTTTCTTTTCTCTTTCCGTTTCTCTGTCTGCTCGGCTTCGCTGATCCTGGTACCATCTGCATCAGACACATTCGGCCTCTTCCTCTCCAATTCTTCCTCCGACATTGCACGCTACCCCAACCCCAAATTCAATACAATATGCGAGCAAAATACTATTCAGCTTGCTAATAAAAAATATTGCTTGAATAGTGTACTTTCAGGAACCTATCAAACCAAAACTCGACTTCTAATCTAAACAATTCCCCCTTTTTCTTGGATAGTTTTGATTCTCTTCGTAAATTTCTAAAACTAACCTGATATATTACTTAATCGCCGGCGAGAGCAGCAACAGTAGAAGGAGAACAAGAAAGATGAGGAAGAAGGGCACGGCGCGGCGGCGGCTGTAGGGATTTGTGTATGGTTTTTTTTTTTTTTTTTAATTTAATTTAAAATAGTATACATCTATATTTTTATTTAATTATATTTATTTATCTATTTTTATATAAAGTGAGTGCATGACTAAAGGATGAGTAAAATCGGCAGGGGTAGTTTTGGGAATTCAGTTTTTATGCTCTGGCGAAAGGCTAACCTGATTGGCTGCAAGAAACAGCTCAGCCAATAAAAATCCTCCCAACAAAGACTTATTCCATTTTCACTTCACAATTCACGGCTCTCTTCTCCTTCCCACGCAGAAGCCGAGGACACCGCGCGGCTCGCACTCCCAGAGGGGAACTTGGGGCTGTGTTCTCCTCGATTCGAAGCGTGAGTAAGGCGGTCTAAGTTCGATTTTAGAGTCACATCTAATCAATCCGGAAGCAAGCTGGTGTATGCTGTTCCGTTTCCGACGCTTCGTCTTTCTTGAATTTGTATAGATACAGAGGACGAGGCGGAGGAAATCAAGGACACGCGGAAAAGAGGGTGAATTCGGTTGACTCGTTTCTTGCATTTGGTTGATTGGCTGGCATTATTGGATCTGGGAGGATTGGGGTTTCAGCTTCTCGGTGATTTCATTGGTGTTTTTCGTTTGGGGAAGTAATGAATCTAAAGAGTGATACAGTCCGCACGCCTCGGTTGCTCAAGTATGTGTTGATTGGGCTCATGGTGTTTCTTGGATTACTTTGTCTCTACAATGGCTCGCTGTTCTCCATTGCTTTGCCCCGCGCCGATGAATCGTTCGACGATGGAGTTGACCCGGTCACCGGACGCTATGTCGCGAAAAAGGATTTCGATGAATTGTTCGAGGATGAAGAGCACAATCTCGATATCATGAAAACCATCCCGGTAAGTCATTTTGGTACCGATTTGGAATCAGTTTAGGGTTGCAATCGTCGACTTTATGGACTTAATTTCTCACATTTTTCTAGGTCTGTGATTTGAGGCATTCGGAGCTGATTCCATGCCTGGATAGGAATTTGATATACCAAATGAAAGTAAAGGTTAATTTGAGCTTAATGGAGCACTATGAAAGGCATTGCCCACCACAGGAGCGTCGTTACAATTGCCTTATCCCTCCGCCCATTGGCTACAAGGTTTATCTGTTTTCTTTGCTCTCTTTTTCACCGATGCAAGTTTTGTACCAACCACCATGTGAAGATTTTGGGTTGTTGGAATTTCGAATCATTCTTTACTGGATTGGAGTAGTTTTGGCTAGTTGTTGTCCCTCATTTGATTTGGATAATAAGTAAGATATGAATGCAATGCTTTTACTTTCCTGGGGCCCTTTAATGGAGTGATGATGCATGTGGTATATGACATATACTTATTGCCATTCACTGTGTTAGTTTTGATTCCAATTGAATTCTCTGTTAGAAATCCAGATCCCAGTTAGATGGCCTGCCAGTCGGGACCAAGTTTGGAAGGCAAACATACCCCACACACATCTTGCGCAGGAGAAGTCAGATCAGAACTGGATGATTGTGGATGGGGAGAAGATAAAGTTCCCGGGGGGTGGTACTCATTTCCATAAAGGGGCAGACAAATACATTGCGGCTATAGCCGGGGTGCGTTGCTCGCCTTATGATTGCTTGACTTTTCAATGTGATATATGATTGTTGAAACATTTCTGCTTTGTCTAGATGCTTAAATTTCCTGGTGAAAGGCTCGACAATGGTGGCCGTATACGGAATGTTCTTGATGTGGGCTGTGGGGTTGCAAGTTTTGGAGCATATCTCCTACCTCTAAACATAATAGCCATGTCGTTAGCTCCTAATGATGTCCACGAGAATCAAATACAGTTTGCATTAGAAAGGGGTATTCCCGCTACTTTGGGAGTGTTGGCCACTAAAAGACTGCCATATCCCAGCAGGTCTTTCGAGTTGGCTCATTGTTCTCGTTGCCGGATTGATTGGCTCCAGAGGGACGGAATTCTTTTGTTGGAACTGGACAGATTGCTTAGACCTGGAGGCTATTTTGTTTATTCATCCCCAGAAGCTTATGCACAAGATGCAGAGAATCGAAGAATATGGAGTTCAATGTATGATCTTTTGAGAAGAATGTGCTGGAGAGTTGTTTCAAGGAGAGATCAAACAGTGATATGGGCAAAGCCACTGAGCAACAGTTGCTATATGAAAAGGCGTCCTCGGACTCTCCCACTTCTGTGTAGCTCTGATGACGATCCCGATGCAGCGTGGAACGTACCGATGAAGACGTGCATCACTCCATATTCCGCAAGTGCGTACCCTCCTCCTCACAAACAATTTATTTAAGTATCAGTGTTGACAATTTTTTCGATGATTCAAGTTATGCCATTGATAGATGATAAGCTCACAGTATCTCTAATCGCTCGTTTTTTCAACGGCAGAAATGCATCGGGAGAGGTGGAGCGGACTGAAGCCATGGCCGCAGAGGCTCATCGCAGCTCCACCGCGTTTGGAAGAGATTGGCGTAAGCGTTGAGGAATTTCACAAAGACACGGTAAGAAGACTCGCAATCCCATCTTGGCCGAGAAACTGCATTATTGATTAGTTATCGAGGTGTGCGTTGATGTTGTGCAGAATACATGGCACGACAGAGTGATCGGGTACTGGAGGCAAATGAAATCCGTCACACATTCCAACTCCTTCAGAAACATTATGGATATGAACTCGAACCTTGGGGGGTTCGCCGCAGCTCTAAATGACAAGGATGTTTGGGTGATGAACGTCGCTCCTGTCAACGCATCAGCAAGACTGAAGATTGTCTACGATCGAGGCTTCATCGGAACAGTTCATGACTGGTATGATGATGCACATCACAGCACAACCACTTGTTCCAATATTCATTCCAAGTTGATTATACTTTCTGATATTACAGGTGCGAGTCATTCTCAACGTACCCTCGAACATACGACCTCCTTCACGCCTGGTCAGTCTTCTCCGAAATTGAGGAAAGAGGTTGCAGCGTGGAGGATCTGCTGATAGAAATGGATAGAATAGTGCGGCCGGAAGGTTTCATCATCGTTAGAGACAAACCTTCCGTCGTAAATTACATTCGCAGGCACTTGGCTTCGATGAAGTGGGACAAATGGTCTTCCGAGGTGGAGCCTAGCGCCGATGCTCTGTCGGGAACTGAAGAACGAGTTCTCATCGCAAGAAAATCACTATGGGAAGAAGATATGTGAGTGTTGTGTACACACAAGTTTTATGTTTGGTGTAGTAATTACTAATAGGTTGGAGGGGTGCTGTTCTCGATGACATACGGTTTGTTAGCTTTTTGGGATACATGTTGTCACTGATTTGTTTGTCAAAGGTATAAATACTTTTTTCATGGAGGGCCCTTTTTCATTCATTCATATGTAAGAAACATCATCAAAGTAAACTACAAGCGTGTGTTTGTTGGGGCTTGAATTTTGTATTGAAATTTGAATAATAAAAAATTTGAATTGAAATAGTAATATAATATAATATAAATAAATATTGATATAATATTTTAAATATAAAATTAATTTTTAGTATAATATTAAGTGATTTTATACAATTATTTTTACTCTATATATAAAAAAATATATATTTGTAATTTTATGGATTTAAAAATTGAGATTTTTAGAAAGGGCCACTAAGAGATTGGACGCACGAAGAGTCACAGTTTTAAAAGTATATTAAAAATGAAAAATTATATACTAGATTTGATACTCATAGGAAAATTTTTTTGTGTAGATAGTACAAATCCCTAGCAATCCTTCAAACAAACACCACCTTAATATTACCTCCAAAACAAGAAGAAGATTTTTTTATTTTATTTTTCATATTATGATGCGTCTGCCTACAGACAAAATCACTTAACAAGGTAATCAGTAAACACAAACAAATTCTTGAAAATTTGAAAAGTTACACACAAAAAAATGCCTTGAACATTTTTCCTTGGAATGACTTAAGTCCTCACCTTTCATATGTATTTTTACTTTTGCTATGATGATGCATCATCGGTCTTCCTTTTCTTCTTCCTCGAGGCAAAGGAACTAGGTCCGATTTCAAGTGTCATTCGCTTAGTCCTGCATATCCGAAAAAGTTTTTAATTTTCTTCAGAAAAATGATTGCTTTTAGCCTATAACTTCATGGATATTGCGAAACATTATTGAGGGTCACTACTATAAAGCCATAAACAGCAGTAATACAACTTGACATACCGGTTAGAAAGGTCATTGTCTTCATGTTTATCGCTTTCAATTCCTGTACAGAAAGTGTCATTATAAGTTCAAAATAAAACTATAGTGTAGAATCAGCTCCAAAAGTCATGGCAAGTATATTATCAAAACCAAAATTTAGCAGCAGCCATTAATCTAAGTACTTCCATAAGACCGTCAAGTCTAAAGCAGAACAAACTTAAATTTTTAAAACTGAAACTAAACCTTCATCACCACCGTTGTCATCATTGTCGTTCACTGGTTCAGAGTCAGGATCAGAGCCCCATCGATCGCCCCCATCATCATTATCCCATCGTTCCCCTACAGGAGGCATCCAAAATTCGGTTTCATCATCCGATTCACTGCTTTTTCCAGCAGAATCCCTTACATTGTTGATAATTTCATCAATATTTTCCTCTTTCTTAGCCTTATTCTTCTTCTTCTTCTTCTTGATTTTCCCTTCATCCTTCTTCTCAGGTGTTCCGTTCGGCATTTCTTTTTCAGCCTCCTTTTTCTCTGTTGCATCAACAGCAGCATCTCAAACATGTTCAAATCACCATCAAACCCATTCTTTTTTTCTTATTTATGTATTCTCAATTCAAAAGCTGACAAGGACAATGAAAAAATAAACAAACCTAACATGTTGAGAAAACGCTTCCCATTGATATGCTTCCATATATGCTCTTCCCACTTATTTATTGTAACTCCGGTTAATTTGCAGATCAACTTAGAACTGCAATACCAACAAAAAACCACACACATGTATATAAATCCTTACAACTATTCAATAAAAATTAATAACATTTGGCATATATTCTTTCTCATCCATCATAAAACCTCAGCTATATTATGGAAACACATTCGTTATGCATACAAATTAAGAACAATCCAACATATCTTGCCATTCTTCCCTTGACTGGCTATGGCCAAAACCTTTCTCCACACAAGTTCCCATTACACAGACAATCGAAAGTTCACAATTTCCTAATGAAAGATAGAGAAATTACCGTGAAGCTGGGTCCTGCTTAAACATGTTGAGTGGAGGCCTATTGCGAGCTAGGGCGAAATCAATAAGACCCAACCGACAGTGCTTGGACTCGGCGTACGAGTCTCTAGCGTGAGCCGGCATCTCGTGGCCTGTTTCCACACATCTGAAACGGCCATTCTCCAGCTGCTCAAACGTCGGCGCGCCTAGTAAATTGTGCCCTTCCATTTGCTCGCCGGACTTCGTGTTTCCTTCTCCTTTATGCTTCCCCATTGCACGTACCCTATTCTGTTTAGGGCAAGCAGTTTCTGTAACTGAACCCAATCAGATATGATTTGTATGTAGTTCACAACAAAAAAATCAAACAATCGTGAAATTTGCTGCACACGCCTTTAGCTAGAAGGGAATGGGAAGGACTGAATCGGCTGTAGGAGACATAGCCAGCCCAAGAAGAAACGATCAGGACAGCAAATTAGGGTTTAGGCAAGCAGTTTTCTGAGCTAATGCGACTTCAGGTGTCGCTAGAATTTAAAAACACGAGTTTCTTATAAGTGGGCCTCCACTAGAGTTGAGAATAAAATAAAAGAATGGGCCTATTTATACACTACTGGGCCAGATATTCAATAAGGGTCCGTTTTCGGCCCATTATATAAAGCAAAAAACGGCGCCAGAATAATTGGCTTATGTCGGAGAATTGATCGATCAATTCAGACTCAGGGCACGTTTCCGGCGTGATAGATTTAGCTTTTCCGGCTTTCTCCCCAAAATGGCGAAAAGTAGAGCAACGGACTCCTTCATGCTTTTCTTTTCATCCAGTATTAAATTGCTCCACTACGATGATCATCGATTCTATGAAAAGAACAATGGCGGATGCAAGAGCTACTGTGTTTGTTGCTGCTGTTTTACTTTCTGTGATCTCAGGTATTAATGGAAGTTCAGCTCCCGCAGCCTCGCGCTGCAATTTCCCTGCAATTTACAACTTCGGCGATTCAAATTCTGATACTGGTGCAATATCAGCAGCATTTTGGCCGATTCCTCCGCCGTATGGTGTAACCTATTTTCGAAAGCCTTCAGGAAGACACTCCGATGGCCGTCTTATCATAGACTTCATTGGTATGAGTGGAATTTTAATTATTCAAGTGTGTGTTATGGACGTATGCGCGTATATTGTGCTTACATGTGTTTGATGAAATGTCTCTGCAGCGGAACGGTTAAGGCTGCCGCTTTTGAGCTCCTATCTCGATTCCATAGGCACAGATTTTCGGCATGGCGCAAATTTTGCTACCGCAGGATCGCCCATTCGTAGGCAGAACGAAACGATAATGGATGGCGTGAGTCCATTCTCACTGGATATTCAAACTTCGCAGTTTGCTCAATTCAAAGATCGGACCACTGAACTACATCGTCATGGTGATTGATCCTAAACGACGCGTAAATCAAAATTTTATTTTCTTACAGAGAAACAATAGTGATTGTTCTGTTTGTGTTTCTCCAATTAATTTCAGCTGCAAGGTATTGTGATACAATGACACTCCCAAACCCTAAGGAATTCTCCAGGGCTCTCTATACCCTTGACATTGGCCAGAATGACCTCGTTGTTGGTTTCAGGAAGCTGACTATGCCTCAAATTAAGGCTCAAATTCCTGATATTATTAATCAGTTTGCTGCTGCCGTTGTTGTAAGTTAATATCTGTGACAAACTATATATAGTTTCCTTCTTTGATCCTCTAAGTTGTTGGCTGAATATATTCTGAATCATACATACATTTCCAGAATTTGTACCAAAAAGGGTCAAGAGCTTTCTGGATTCACAATACGGGACCCATTGGATGTTTGCCAGGAACAAGAATGTATTTCAGAAGCAAACAGCCTGGACTTTTCGACAGCCATGGATGCATCAGAGGTCACAATGCCATTGCTCTTGAGTTCAACCGGCAGCTCAAAGCTCGGGTCGCATTGCTCAGGGCTCACCTTCGTCATGCTTCCCTTGTCTACGTCGACATCTACTCTGCTAAATATCACTTGATAAGCAATGCCAAAGTCTATGGTCAGGATAGAGAAACCAATTAACCTATGTCTTTTGTTAATTGATCTTGACGAAATGCTGCTAAGTAGTGGTTAATTTATTTGTCTATTATGTAAATGATAAATATACAGGATTCGATGACCCGATGAAGATATGCTGTGGGCATCACAAGGACAACGTGCACGTATGGTGCGGACAGAGAGTGAGGATCAACGGGACGGAGGTGGTTGGGACGGCGTGCAGCGCGCCACGGACATGCATAAGCTGGGATGGGGTTCACTACAGCGAAGCAGCTAATGAATGGATTGCCACGCGCATCCTTAACGGGTCCTATTCTGATCCCCCTCTGCCCATATCTAATGCATGTTCTTAAGAACACTATACAAAAAAAGAGAGCATGTCCTCTTCTTTTTCAAATGAAATTGCAATGGAAATTATTAACTATTCCCTAAATTTGTGAATTTATTTTCGTTACGACGCCATTGTTAAAGTTGACAAAATTAATAATAATTTATAGGACAACCTGATGCCTGTGGTAGTGGGCAGTTTAGTTGTCTGACCATTGAAATTGAATGCTTGTTAATTACACTATGCAGTGATTATAAAATGCATTGTTGTTAATTATACTCGGCATTCATCACCAGAAAGAAATAAGACTTGTTTGAGATTGTATCTGGAATTGTTGTGGTGATTGAAATCATATTTTGATCAAGCACCCATCCATGTTTTGAATCTTGAAAATTTTCATGTACTTATCTCTAGTTTGAGCAGAGCTGTTAACGAGTCAAGCCGAGCTAAATTTTAAATGTTTGTTAATATTTGCGAACAAGACTCGTGTTCGTTCGTTAAGCTTTCGAGTTCGGCTTGTTAAGAATTTTTGTTGTTTAAATCGTTTTCATGTTTGACTCGAGTAAGCTCGTTCAAGTTCGTTCAAAGCTCGCATGTCTTACTTTTTTTTATTTATATATAAATTAAAAAGAATTTTAAAATTATTTTATTATATGTATATATAATATTTATAATAAATATTATTATTTAAACGAACGTTCGCGAACAAAGTTCAGACTCGATCGTTAACCATACGAGCTTGTTTCTATTGTTTGACTCGGCTCGTTAATGTTCGCGAACGAGTTTTAATCGAGCCGAATTCATGAACAACTCGGTTCGGTTCATTTAACAACTCTAAATTTGAGTATGACTGTTATGTACAGTTTGCTTAACGATTTTCATATATTTGATCATATAACCTTTTAGAAAGACAATTAATTAACTAAAATAGAAGTGGATAGAAAGGGGTTGTGTAGTTCTTGAGTCAGGTTACTTACATTGAGAGAGAGTGCACTAGGCATAGATAGAAAGAACACTCCCATCCCAGGTAGGTAGGTAGGTAGCTTTTTACAAAATAAATATAGTAATCATGTCATGTCATGTCATGTAATAAATGACTATATATATATATATATATTATATGTATGTATCTATTTTTATTACTGTCGATATCCTTCTGGAAGTGGAACGACCCTGTGGAAAGGCACAGATCGTTGTGGCATAGATCCATCCTCTTCATCATCATCAAATTCCAGAATGTAACTGTACAGACCAAACAAAACAAAACAAAACATTATCCTCACCTCAATCTGCTCTTTCTTAACCAACTACAAATCACACTAGTGTATTTAAAGCTCTGCTACTTACTCATCAATCTTCCTCTACAGATTGGGACAAGAGTGTCACCAGCATAGCATTCATTCATTGTGTTGTATTGCAGCAAATGGATCAATCAATGGTAAGTTTCACATTAACAAACCAACAAAAATTAATAGCAAATCATAAGAATAAGAATAAGAATACCTTTCGACCCTGGACAACAGTTGCTTTATAGAGTGCAGTGGTTTCTGGATAAACAGCCAATACATGCGTTCCACGAGGAAAGTCGGGGACACTCGACAGATCACTCCGCTTCGGAAAAGGTATAATATGAGACATTGGCAGGTTGTATTTTCTGGAACCACAAAACACCCAAAATCAAATCAATTATACACAACATTTGATACTGAAAATATAATAATAATAATATGAGGGAAGAAGCAAGTTCCAACTTCTGCCCAGTGCCATCCTCGTCGTCGCCCGGTTCCTCATCCAACACTTCAAACCTACAATCCAACAAAAAGTATTCAGACATTATCTTTCAATGAGAAACTACCAAAGGAATTGATTGTTTGCTATTCGAAAACATCAACATATAGAAAAAAAAAAAAAAAAAAAAAAAAAAAAAAAAAAAACACCTACAGTCTTGTTTCCTTGTCAAAATGGATCACTTTAACAACAAACCATTCATCCTTTCCTGCATCGTCCTGACTCACCTTTGCAGCCACCTAAACATTAAAACAACATTTATAAACAGAATCATCAACAGCTACGCAATGCAAGTCTCTGATCAAAGAGTGTAAGTTGAATACACCACACCACACCATACCTGTTCACCCTTCAAATTTGCAAGTGAGTCGAGGCTGTTTCTAGCAGAAGCAGACTGCCTCGGGGCTTCCAAATCGGCCTTCATCCTCCTCTTCTTCGGCTCACCAGCTTCTGTCATTAATGAACGAAAATTACATTGACAAGTAAAAAACATGAAATTTGAGTCAACATCATATAAGCACAAAACATGATCACGTTTTGCAGTTGTGCTAAGTGCTACCCAGAAAAATAACTAAATATACTTGACATAGATCCACACCTATCCTTCTTCGTTGTCCTGCAGTTCCAGAAGGCATCAGTGCATCCAGTTGTCCTAATAATTGACTGGAGATACTGCAAATCCAAATAAACCATGAGATATCCTATCTGCAGTTGAGTATCTCTCTCTTTATCCTTATCTAGCAGTGTTTCCAACTTGAAGGTACAAGTCTTGCTTGGATTTGGATTTTTAAAAGTGATATGAAGAAACCAGAAAACCATTAGCACCTATCACAATCAGATTACAAGATCCAAACATACGTCATTTCATTCTCTGATAGCTCTTTTGCTTGAGTGTATAACACCTTGAGCCGATACAGTGAATTATCACCTGGCTTGTCAACCACCTCTGGAGCTGCATTCACCAAAAATGGAGGTTAAATGTTGAAAGATTATAACAACAGTAACTTGTCAAGAATCTATCACCTAAACATATCTTCTTACTGATTTACAGGGAGCCTTAATCAATCCAAATAATAGCAAACATGTCCAGAGATCATGAAACTATTCTATTCTATACATTAGGGTTTGCAAAAAAATCAGAAATATCAGTCAGTTGGGGTAGAGGTAGAAAATAAATCCACACTATTGCACATCTCCACGAACAAAACTCAACTGAAACAGAATGAAAAGAAAAAAATAAGATTCCCCCAACAATTTAGATGAATAAGGAAAGATATAACATAAGGTTAATCAGATTAACCAAACAATATTACGCCAATATCAAGAAAAAAAGAGGGTCAGTCGCGTCTACACTCATCCTGAATGAGGATTGCGTAATTACTAAAGAACAATGAAGCATGTTTTAATAATATTATATATATATATATATATATATATAAGGAATCTAAAGAGATCTTCTTGATTCTTGAACGGCTGCTTCAGGACAATCGTATAATTAAATGCATTTAGACTAGTTCAACAAACAAAATTGACAATTGTCAAGTCAATGTAGAATGGCTCCAAAACTCTCAATTTATGTAGCCATCGAGATAGCCAACAACACTACGGCCATAAAACATTTGTCACTCATGAGCAGAAACCAGAGAAATAAATAAATTAAAATTAAAAACAAATCACGAGGTTTAATCGAACAATCAAGAAAAGACAAACTCAATAATTCTGATCACCGACTACAATGAGAATGAAATACAGAGCGATAACAGTTGTCGTCGCGACTCACTGGATTGCAGCTTCTTGTGCAACTTGTTGATCTCAATCAACACGTCCTCCTGCTCCTTCCTCAGCCGATCGAGCTCCTTCGAGTTCTCGAGGATTCCTGCAATGTCCGGCGTCGACATCGTGAGATCGATCGCGCAAGTTCGAATCCGAGATCGAGGAAGTTAACGAATCTAATCAGACACATTCATTCAGGAATCAAGATTCAGAATTGAATCGAATTGCATTTCTTCCGACGAATCAAAGGCAGATTTAGTTGGGTGGGGAGGCAATGAACTTAGGGCGGGTCAAACTTAAAGGGTAATTTGGAAGTATGTATGTAACTTGGGGAGGCCACGTGGCTCCCGCATGGTTTTTCTCGCTTACCCTTAATGGCCCAACCAAATGGGCTCTGAGGCCTAATAATAAAGCCCATTAATAACCCAATAGCTAAGAACTCATAGTTCGTGTAATGTGATAATTGAAGCCCAAATTTGAAGTTAATGGGCCTGTTGTTTAGCCCAATAGGGCCCAATTATAAATGTGGATAGGCCCAAATAACCTCTTAGTGGATTTTTAGCCCATCATATAGGTCCAATATGACAACATTATTATAAATGGGCTAATTTTTACGCAATCCAAAATTTGAATCAATCGAGCAAATCCATGGCGGTCTGGAAGAAGATGGAAGAAGACAAGGGAACGACAAGCTCGGTCAGGTTGGCCTGCAGCAAGCAAGCAAGCTTCTGTTTGAATAAGACAAGTAGGGAAGAAAGTGCCCATCCAAATACACAGAAAGAAGTTTCAAAAATTGACATTTCGTTTCATGTAAGAGGTAAGATTTTTACAATGGAAGAACAGTCTTCTGAGCCTGAATTGAATAGCTAGCTTCATCGTTGTCCATTCGTCTCCGTGTGGTTTTTTACTTAATTTATATTCGACGCTGGGCTCCACAGTTTTCCTGTGTCTTTAATTTATTTACTAGTGGTTTACCAATTTCTCATCATTGGTCCTTGTTAAATTGCTGCTATTTGAGCTTTCAAAAGCCTTTTTAGGCTTTGAGTGCTTCCTTTTCGTCTCTCATTTCATCATCAGCAGAAGCAGCTTCATCATTTGCTGCCAATAATTTGTTTTTGAGCATCAGATTTGTTGACTCGATTCAAAATTCTTCCAAAAAGGTGAGATTCACTTCTCATTTTCCACTTTGTTGAATCTTGTAAACTTTTTCAGCTTCGATAAAATTGAATTTCCTTGATTTGGTCCTTCCAACTTCTTAATGATCAGAGACTTGAAGTGAAAGCATTTGGAGGTGATTTAAGTTTCTGCATCTTTGACCTACTCAAACATCTACAGCAAGCTACCTCATTATTAGGTGATCTTATAATTGCCATTGATGGGATTCAATCTTTAAGACAAGCATGTTTCGAATATATACATTTTTAAATCACTGAGTCCAAAATGATGTTTGGTAGTCGAATTCCTGTCCAGCGAGCAGATTTCTTGTTTACCACCTTCTGGATCTTGGGTTGGGTGGTACTGTTAGAAATACACTGTATGATTCTTGAAGAAATGCAAACGTGAGAGGTGCTGGTACGTATTGTATGTGAACTGAGAATATCTTCTGCAAGTATTGTGATCAAAATGGCCACTCCCAGGCGAAGATCCACACTTTCAAAGTTTGTTTCCACTTCCACATCTCTCATTATTTCTTAAATCTGAATTACTTGAATCATTGCATTGAATTGCATTTGTATATCAATGATTTCTGTGTTTACTTTGTTGTAGCAGCAGCACCTGGCATGTGAGGAGGACAAATGAATGGATGAGGTTAATTCTTACAACGTCTGTAGGGATTATATTCGGCTTCTTTTTGGGTCTATCTTTCCCCAAGCTTTCATTGACAAAGGCAGGACTTTACTCGTCTAAGTCATTTCATTTCACCTAGAACTCAATTTGTTGGTGCAATGCTTCAGTCTCGTTCCATTGGATTGATTTTATGCTTTTCCAGGTCAGTCTGTCGTCCAACATATTTCCCTCCATTGATCTTGCATACATGGAGGATAAGTACTCGGGTATCTCCACCCAGGCAGTGTTAAATGTATTGTCTTCTCTTAGAGGTCGACGGGGCCTATCGCCCAAGTCTAATGACACTAAGGTGAACCATTATCCTGATCTAAATCGAGTCAATAACTTGAGCATGCGAGATGTTCATCTTCCTATTGCAATTCATGTTTCTTTACTGTAAAGGAATATTTATGTGCAGATTTGGGTCCCAAACAATCCTCGAGGTGCTGAGAGACTACCACCCGGTATCATTGTACCTGAGTCTGATTTATACACTCGCAGATTATGGGGTCTTCCTAGTGAGGTGTGTATATTTCGACAAAATCACATGGTTGCATTGTTCTAACTTGAGTGACTCAATATCCCGGTAGAGGGAACTTTGCCTTATTACAATAAGTTGGAGAATAAAATCAGCCTTATGGTTAATACATTGAGATTGTGTATCTTTTTCCCCCCAATTTCTGAAAATTTCCCCACTTAAATTGTGTATCTTTTTCCCTTTGATTTCTGAAGAAACTGGTTTTCCATTTCAGGACCTAATTGTGAAGCCAAGATATCTCATCACTTTTACAGTTGGCTATGATCAGAAAAATAACATTGATGCAGCTGTAAAGAAGGTAATTTGAAATTGCTGTACACTTCTCTTGGCTTTGGCTGTGCTTTTGTTGCTCGGTAGTTGGTTGACAGAGTTTTACAGTTGACAGAAAACTTCATGATATTATTGTTTCACTATGATGGTCGAACGAGCGAATGGGATGAATTCGAGTGGTCCAAACGGGCTATCCATGTGAGTGTTCGGAAGCAGACTAAATGGTAATTGTAGTGATCAGTTTACTCCTCTCACATTCATGATTTATGATGGAATGAATGAATGCTTAGTTCATCTTGTTAGGTGGTATGCAAAACGATTCTTGCATCCAGACATTGTAGCACCCTATGACTATATATTCATTTGGGATGAAGATCTAGGTGTCGACAATTTCGACCCAGAGGAGTGAGTCAAAACAACTTATGTTCTCGAACGATATACGAATAAGCTGTGTTGGATAAAATAAAATAGAAAAAAAGCTTTCTGAAATGGTATTCCATGGCAGATACATCAAACTAGTGAAGAAACATGGCCTGGATATTTCGCAGCCAGGATTGTCCCCGGACAGTGGAATGACATGGCAGATGACAAAGAGACGAGAAGACACTGAAGTCCACAAGTACAGACAAGAATGTTCACTTGCTTTCATCTGCATAAGTTCTTCGACACACAGTTCTGGTGACATTTTTACTTCCACAGGGACACCGAGGAACGGCCAGGCTGGTGCACTGATCCTCATTTGCCGCCCTGCGCAGCGTATGCACATGATTTAGCTATTACATATATATACCTTAGCATGAGTAGTTTAACTTGAACCTATCAGGATCTAATATTTGCAGTTTTGTCGAGATCATGGCCCCAGTGTTTTCACGGGAAGCATGGCGATGCGTGTGGCACATGATTCAGGTATCGACAACACAACTCTTTTACATATATGCAACAATATCTGAGATATTACTTTGAATGCTACTGCAGAATGACTTAGTCCATGGATGGGGACTGGATTTTGCTCTCCGAAAATGTGTTGAGGTTATCTTCTAGTCTCCACACCTAAAAACAAAAAATCCATGTTCATGTATAGTAAGTACCTCTTTGTACTAAATGATGCCTTTGTCGAAAGCAGCCGGCGCATGAGAAGATAGGAGTGGTTGATTCTCAATGGATAGTGCACCAAACTGTGCCTTCACTCGGAAATCAGGTATTCTCTCCCAGCTGGCTCATCGATCTATTCTTCTGAATGACAAGGTAATATCTTCATGTTTCTAACAGGGGCAGGCGGAGAAAGGCAAGGCGCCATGGGAGGGGGTGCGCGAGAGGTGTAGGAATGAATGGAGTATGTTTCAGGATCGCCTGGCCGGGGCCGAGAAAGCTTATTTTCAGGCTTTGGGTATTGACATTCCTGCCACAAATTTTTCTACATTTCCTTAGTCTTGGGAGTCTTGTTATTGCACTTATCAGTTGATATGTTAGTTCTGATTTTATATATATATATATAGTGTGTGTTGTATTTGGTGGTTAGCTGTGCCTCTTTTAGGGTTGCTTTGGGTTAAACATTTCAAATGTGAAGTGGAAACCATTGGCATTGTTGATTAAGGAAGTGAGTGAGTGAGTTCAGTTGTGTTTCATTTACATCATTACATGTACATAAAGAATCATTTTCTTGTCAAAGCAGGAAATATAACTTAACCAACAAAAACTGTGTGACAAATGATTCCGAATGAAAATGTTGACAGAATTTGAATCAATAATTGAAGCTGCTACATGTACCCTTTGGTGATTTGTTCTTCCAATTCTTGGAACTCCCAGGCGTCGTCGGCTGAATATTCTCCTAGGAAAAACGAAGCATACACAGAATAAGTCGATTATTGTAGAATTAGTGAAAGCAAAAAGGTTCGCTAATGCCTGTTGCTTTCGACAAACAAGCAGAATTGTGAAACGAGTGTATGTGTGTTTATTTTCTTGGAACCAAACGGGCATATGATATATTTCAACTTTGATTGCAAGAGTATCAGCTTCGCTACGAATGGGAAATGAATAAGCGGTGAGAACATCTGTAGTAATGGGGCTTTACCTATTGAATCTCGCCGTAAAGCAGTCAGATGGGCACAGCTGTAACAATCGAAGCAAAGAAGCAGCCAAAGAAAAGGTTATGAGTTATTTCTCCAATAAAAACATCAACTGTTCAAACATAATATGCCAAAATTACGTAGCGATGAGTGGATGATTCACAAGATCAAAAAAATCATGTTAGCTACACTACCTGCCTAGAGCCTTCCCGAAATCAGCACAAAGGGACCGCACATAAGTTCCCTTCGAGCAAATCACCCGGAAAATCACATTTTGCCTGCAAATAAGTAGTAGAAATTGGGTGATCAGAAAGCAGCCATTTAAACAAATGAATGCAGTGGAACAATAAATGGCTAATGATGATAACATAACATCCAGAGAAGTATTAATGAAAAAACGAGAGAAGGCACAATTCATTCAAGAACCAAATTGCCATGGCAAAGGGTTCAAAGTTATTGACATTCCACAGGCTATAGCACAATAGAAGAGAGAAATGAAAAGCAATTGATAAGCATTCCCCTAGAAAAACATCACTGATAGTGTTTCATAACCTAAAAGAGAAAAAGACAAGTCCAGGATAGATATAGTTATTTAACATGGATAAGTGTGGACGAATGGCAGATTGGTCATTGGTGTCACGGGTATCGTCGCCTAGGAAATATTTGAACATCCCCTTTTATAATTGTTGGGAATTCTCATTAATTGTTCATATAGTATAACATATTGCAATTATAACCAGGGAAAATAACCAACGGATGGAGATTCTTGACTAGTTGGGTAGAAATATCAAGAATATATTCACTATGCTTATACCATGCACTAAATATTGACACCAACACAAAATTCAAGATTATCCGTAGTTTAATTCATTCAAAACGGACGTGACTTGGAGATGAATCATGCTAGAGAAATGCCAACAGTTCATAGCCAAAACACACATAAGCATAATTCACCAGATTTTAATAATAGAATTGCAGACAACCTGTCATCTAAACTTCGCTCAACCTCGAAACTGAAGATTGAAATCCGTCTTGGTGAGAGTTCAATGGTTTCTCCTTTTCTAGCCTTTTCATACATCCTCTCTCCACCAACCTATCATACATAGAAAGTACAGAGTTGAGAGTTGAAAACCATAAGTGCCTCAAAATGGAAAGTGAGTCATATTCTAAGTTGCTGAATTTTCAATGATGTATGCTCCACAATTCATGACTTTCTTCAACAGAGTTATTTCCGCAACTTCATGAATGCGGCACATGAGCAATAAACTATGCCTTGAATCCAGCGCCTTGTCCTAAAACTAACTATAATACTTACAGCTAGAGTAGCATGTATCTATGAGAAAACAGAGCTAGAAACTATGGTCGCAGAAATTTTTACTTTGATAGCAGAGAACATCGGGGGGACTTGATATATTTCTCCACAAAAGGATGCTGTAGCTTTCTTTATATCCTCATCCTTGATGTGTTCCCAAGGCTCCCGTTGGATAACCTGAATAGTTAATTTCATAGTATTCACTTGGTTAGGTAAGTTAAAGGCCAACATGTGCCTTGTAATAATAAAGAACTCAAACCAAGAGCCTCAAATACAAAGAAGGTACTATTTTTCAATTTATTTTTTTTTTCAGGAAAATGAACACACAGGTGAATCAGCATCCAAGGTTGAGGTTGCTTCTCCTAATCGAAAGATTCCGCTATATCCCTTTATCATGCCTTGATATCTGCGGAAAGTATAACAAAGCTTCACTATATTTGCTAAGGTATAAAGAAACTATTATCAAAACAGAACACAAGATTATCTAAGACATGGTAGAGAAAACTTGAGTTAGAGAGATATAATATATAACCCAAATTTTCCCTAAGAAAAACTGCAGAGATATCCATAACAGGCTACCTGTCGACCACCTTTGTAGCTTTACCAATACATACAATCAATAAACCAGTTGCCATAGGATCTAGTGTTCCGGCATGGCCAACCTGCAAAAGACAAGTTTCTCTTTGAAAATACATTCAAAATAAAGCAAGGCTGAAATCATCCAGTTTTGAGGTTATGTATAACCTTTTTCACTTTGACAAGACGACGCAACTTCCCACAAACAGTAAATGATGTCCAGCCTGTTAACATTTGCTCTTAGCTGTGAAAATCACTCCATAATAAATCTGGTTATACTAACACTAACAAAAGCAGGAAATGCAAAAACACCTTTCACTCAAAATCAAATAGATATAAGTCTACTACTCCACTCAAAAGCAATTGTTTCAAAAACCTACCCACACCTTCAAAATATATTCAACATCTACATAACAATTACATCACAGATTATTATTATTAATTAGCAATATAACAAGCTATGATCCCTTTTTGTTTTTCCAAAACTAGCAATGTTGGCCACTTGAAGTTCCAGTCCCAATCATCTTGATGATAAAATCCATACTCATAGCTCAAATACCACAAGAAACTGTCTAATGAATCCTAGTCCATAAATTCCTGAATGCACTGAAACATTAGGGCAAAGAAATTGACCTTTAGGTTTATTCACCAAAACCACAGTGCCATTGGGACCATCCCATTTGGGAGGAAGCCCAACACTCCTTGTTGAAAGAAAAGGCTCTGAAAATGCAACATCTCCATCTTTTTCATTGGGGAATTTCTTCAAACACTTGAAGAAGTCCTCCACTTTCTTCTCAGCCACATCTCCAACCTTGATATCCTTCTTTTCCTTCTCACTCTCATCAAAGAACACCATCCTCCGATCACCATCATCATCATCATTTATTGCCACTCCTTTATTCTCTACTTCTTTTTTCCCCTTCTTCGCATTCGATTCCCCTGGCTGGAGAAATGCCTTGTCGAAACACTGATCGGGGAAATACTTCTTCTCCAATTGATAAACCATGCGGTAATGCTTGTTTTTCTCCCACGGGTACGCAAATGTGTCGTAGAAGTACAACTCTTCCTCCCTGTGGAACACCGTGCGCGGCTCCACCACTTCCTGCTTCAGCTCGATGAAATCACTCTCGCCCCGCCGCGACCGGCCGTTCTCATCATCCGACTCAGATTCGCCGTACATCCTCTTCCTCCTTTTGTTGTAATACTTTCTCTTAGCCTTGTCCATGACCGCTTTACTTTCTGAATCCTCCTTACTCGACAGCTTCTTATCTACCCATTCCTCGAAGCCCATACCCGAGTCGGGTTCAGAATCCTGCAATTGCGACTTCGGTGGCGGTCGGAGACGGCGGGAGGGTACCGGAGCTGGTGGATTGAGGGGGCGGGAGACAATCATTTCGTACTGGAGCGGATACCGTGTGGCGGTGGATAAGACTCTTGCGCAATTGAGATTGGCCGGCAGGGAGTAGAAGGGAAGGAAGCGCGAGGGCGTTGTTGGAGAGGCATACAGAGACATTGAGCGGCGGAGGTGGAGGAGCAGATGTAGGTGCGGCGACTTCGCCATTGAAATGGCAGTGCTTGCCTCCCACTGAATCTTGAACCCCGTCTGCATAATATTTATACATATATGTACGATGAATGTGTCTCTTGAAATGGATTAAAAAAAAAGGGACACTAATACAGTAATACTATCGAATTTTCGGCCAATAACCATCTCCAACAAAATTGATAGTGGGATGGAAATGGTTAGTATATTGGAAAACAAAATTGATAACAAATTATTCTAAGGAATATAAGGGTGTGTTTGTTTTGGGGTTTGGATTTTGAGTTGGGATTTGAATAGTAAAAATTTTGAATTTGAATAGTTGTATGGTGTGATATAAATAGGTGTTGATGTGATGTTTTGAATGTAAAATTAATTTTTAGTATAATATAAAAAATAAAAAATAGGTGTTTGATTTGATATTTTTGGAAAAAAAAATAGGATGAACAGTGAAAATCTAATTCAATCTTCCAAACAAACACACTCTTATATTTTTATTATTTGAACGTGTGATCTCACAAATTCAATCTCCACACCACCGGGGCCCTCATGGGATGAGACAAGATTAATTACACAATGCATCAGTCATAAAATCATATCATATATCAAATCATATATAGGTAAAATTGTTAATAACTCCTTTGTAATTTTGAAATTTAGTGTAAAATCTCCTTATACTTTAAAAATTGCATGAAAACCTAAACTTTCCTTGTGTGAAGAGAAAATGATTTTCTATCTGTATGTTTTTTTGCATGGCAGGGTTTTCATACGATATTTTTAAAAGTATAGGGTGTCATGCAATTTTTTAAAGTAAAATAAGAATTTACGCTGAGTTTTGAAACCACAAAGGGGTTTCATGCAATATTTTTTAAAGTACAAGGGGTGTCATACAATTTTTAAAGTAAATGAGATATTTACGGATTTTCGAAACTACAAGGAGTTATGGACAATTTTGTCATATATATATATATACTAGAACACGCATTTGTGCGGTATACCGCGTGACTATTCTATAATGTAATGTAGTGAAACATTATTTATTTAATATATAAACTATAAAACAAAAATACAATCGAATTATTTGCGCTCAGGTCGGTTGGTCAGGTCAGTTGGTCGTCGGTCGGTTGGTCTGGTCGGTTGGTTAGGTGGGTTGATTTGCCGTCGGATAGGCAGATCGGAAGGTCCTCGGCCGGTTGGTCTGGTCGGTTGGTCCTCGGTCGGATGATCAGGTCGGTTGGTTAGCGGTCGGATAGGCAGGTCGGAAGGTCCTCGGTCAGTTGGTCTGGTCGGTTGGTCCTCAGTCGGATGGTTAGCGGTCGGACAGACAGGTCTGATGGTCAGCAGGTCGGACAGACAGGTCTGATGGTCTGCGATCGGATAAAGTAGGTCGGCTGGTCTGCGGTCGAATAGGCAAGTCAGCTAGTCCACAGATGGATAGACAGGTCGCTTGGTGGGTGCAGCCAAGGAGTCTTTTGGTCTAGCGATTGGTCTCTAGATTGGTCGGTTGGGCTATTTGAGTTCTGGAACTGGTGGAGGCGTTTGGCAAGGCGGTCGATGTAACCGACCAGACGACGTTTCAAAACGTTTCGTCTTGGGCGGTTGACGATGGTTGCTGGCGACGGTTCCAAAACGTCTTTTCAAGCCAGTACAAAGGTGGGTTAAGGGCTAAATTGTTATTTTGAGAGGCATGATAGAATTTTCAAGTGGTAGAATCTCGTGTTTATAAGATATAATATATATATATATATAAAAGAGCTCAGTGTCCCCGCTATTCTAATATTTAGTTTTTCCTACAATCTCACAATTTTAATATTAATTTTGTTTTTTTTTTTTTAATTTTCTTTTTCTTTTTACAGTTTTTTACAATAGTAGAGTTACAATTTAGTTTTTTTAAGTGTGTTAGTTTGATTCATACTATTTTTATTAATTATGTTTTTTGAATTTTTGTATAGTTTTAAAATTGTTTTTTTTTTATTATTTTTTTTATGATAGAAGCAAACTTTTTATATTTGAGGAGATTGTCACCGAAAGTATAAGTCGATTTCTTGAAAGAATTATCCAATATTTCTTTATATCTATCGTATAAACTTTTTTAAGAATATTTCATATATATATATATTTATATAAAAGAGCTCAGTGTAGACGTCACTATTCTAATATTTCATTATTTTTTTACAATGGTGGAATTAACAATTCTTTTTAAATGTGTTAGTGTTTTATGGAGTGATTGTTAGGGAGAAGTAAATCTGAAACTAAATACATTTCTACTGTAAGTTTTTTTTATCTTCTAATAGAAAATTTTATTTCTTCCTCGTATTTTTACCGCTATTTGATTCATACTTATTTTTATTAATTTTAATTTTTTTGAAATTTTGTATAGTTTTTAAGTTGTGCTTTCTTTTTTTTTATATGATAGAAGCAAATTTTTTATACTTGAGGAGATTGTCACCGGGAGCATAAGTCGATTTCTTGAAATACTCCCTCCGTCCCAGTCCAAAGGGCCCTTTGGGATTTTGTAGTAGATTAAAAAAGAATAATATTTTATTAGTTAGTGGAAGTGCGTAAGAGGTTTGACATTTTTGTTCTTTGACTTTATGTAAAAAATAATTGTATTTGTAATGGTATGTTTGTAATTTAGGTAAAAGCTAAAAAATATTTTGGTATTGGTGTATGATTACTTTTACTAAAATAAGAAAGAGATACTTTGAAGGTAGACTGCCAAAAATGATAAAAATGGTACTTTGAGTTGGGACGAAGAGAGTAAGTTTTTTAATAATTTTTTTTTTTTTTGAATTTTTGTATAGTTTTTTTTTACACATGTTTTTTTATAGCATAAATAAGATCTGTATCTTTTAACATAAAGATTTTTTTTTCCTCATCTTTCATACTTATTTTTAAAAAAATTATAGAAAAATTATCCAATATTTCTTTACATCTATCGTAGGAATTGTTTTTAGAATATTTCATAGATATATATATATATGAGGACCTCATTATTCTAATATTTCACTATTTTTTTTACAATAGTAACAATTCTTTTTAAAATGTGTTAGTTTGTTATGAAGTGATTTTTACGGTAGAAATAAGATTTGAAACTAGATACATTTCTACCATAAGTGTTTTATCTTCTAATATAAAGTTTTATTTCTTCCTCATATTTTTACCTTATTTTTCCTATTTTATTCATACTCATTTTTATTAATTATATTTTATTATTTTTGTATAGTTTTTTAAGCTGTGTTTTTATGGTAGAAGCAAAATTTTTGTACGAGGAGATTTCCACTGGGAGCAGAAGTCGATTTCTTGAAATAAGTTTTTGAATAAATTTTTTTTGAATTTTTTGTAACGTGTCCAAAAGCTGACATGCCCGGCGCCTAGGCCACGCCCGCGTTGAGGCCCAAATCAGCCGTCCCTTGTGCGCAACACATCCAGGATATATCATACAATATAAGAGAATAATGCATAACACTTACCTGCACCAAGACATATGTCGTCAATCAACCGTATAGGACAAAGCCTCACATACATGAGACGAACTATGGCCGAGAACCTAAGGCAAGAATGTCAGCCCGTAACAATACTCCCCCAATTCAATTTCGCAAACGCCTTTGTGAGACACTATTCAAGTGCACTGACGTTGTTTCTTGCACCCTCAGTATGTCTCCGGCGTCACTCCGTTGACCCTCTTCTGCATACCCTCATTTTATGTGTTCACCAACAACCAACGAGATCTTTTGTCATAGACAACCCACATGTGGCCCATTCCACAACGCATCTCCACACACCATCCCGGACATCATTTGTTGCGGCTTGCACGATTTTCACCCGAATATCGTCCTTAACGTGATTTTTCCCTCACGAACAAAGCTCGGCTCTCTTGGCCCTCCAGCAACGTCGAACATACTCCCCCACCCTAGAAGTACTCCCTCTTTGGAATGTCAAATTCCCTTAGGACATGCTCATCCTTGATGTGCGACTGACATGCTCCTCCACTCAAGCAATTGCCCACTCGTTCGCTTTGTTCGCCAACAGTGTCAAAGGTCCACTCTAATATCATATGTAACGTGTCCGGAAGCTAACACGAATCAGAATTTTAAATTGTACCCTGGATTTGGTAACAGAAAGCTAACCCTTACTTATTATTTATTAATTAATTATTGGGTAAGTGGAGATTAAATTATGTGAATATTGATTGGTTTGAATATTGTAATCACATAACTGGTTGCTCACTGCTATTTTGATATATTGCGAGAATATCGTCGTTCGATCAAATTGTCAACATCATGGATGTTGTTGGAAATTCGAGAGTAGGCACATCCAGCGTCGACGTTTCTACTCTGTCGACAGGGGCTGGTCAGACAGAACAAAATATTATTTCGAGTGTGTCGATTTATGGCATTATAGATTGAAGAATACTAATCTAAATGCTATAAAATGATTAGTAAATTTCAATTTACTAAATATGAAAAAAAAAAAAAAAAAGAAGTAAAATACTCAAACTAAATGAGAAGTTTGTATGGAGGTAAAAACGACTATATTATTGTTTTATTCAATAAAATATAATATATATATACGAAGCCATTGGATTTAATTCACACTGATGTGTGTGTGTTTTTTTTTAAAAAAAAAATGCAAATTTGAGGTGGAAAAAAATCACCTTTATAAATGATTGCATAAGAAATTGCTACATTTACCTGTTAAGAGGTAATAGAGAAGCAATAATAATAACACAGTGAATCAGCTGAGATATAATATTAAGGCAGTTCGAAATTATTAGAGAAACAAATGTGTAGTTCTGTATGAAGAATTGTGCTGCATAATTCATCATACTTATCATAATCGAATGGCGTCACAAAACGCATGAATAAAATTCCACCAAAAAATAAGGATAAAACTCCTTATAAATTGTGAAAAGACAAGAAACCTTCATACAAATATTTAAAGTGTAGGGGTGTAAGTACCGTCTCTCAAAAAAATCACTGAGAAAGCGGTAGGTCGTGTAGAGTTAGTAAGAGTCTTGAGGTATTTAAAATATACTCTCGACTTTAGGCATACAATACACGAGATAT